CGGGAGCTCCAAATCCCACCCGGGAGCTCCAAAATCCCACCCGGGAGCTCCAAATCCCACCCGGGATTCTCAAAATTCTACCGGAGATACCCCAAATCCCACCCAAAATTCCCCAAATCCCACCCAGGATGCCCAAAACCCCTCTCCAGACCCCCCCAAACCCCTGGGGATCCCCCAAATCCGCTATAAACCCCCCCAAACCCCTCTCCAGACCCCCCCCCAATCCCCTCGGGGACCCCCTCTCACCGGCAGGGAGTGTCCCTGGTTCGCTCTCACCCTCAGGGGGTCCGGCCGGAGGGCGAAGCGACCCTTGGGGTCAGCGGCCACCACCCTGCGCACGTCCCCCTCCGAGACCCCCGCGAAACGCCGCAGCCTCAGCAGAGCCCCCACCTCGACAAAACCGTCTGACCCCAAAAATCCCCCCCGAGACCCCCAGTCAGGGCATTTGGGGGGGTCCCAAAGGGTATTTGGGGTGTCTCGGGATGTTCTGGGGGTCCCAAAAGGCATTTGGGGGATCCCGAAGGATATTTGGAGTGTCTCGGGATGTTCTGGGGGTCCTAAAAGGCATTTGGGGGGTCCCAAAAGGCATTTGGGGGGTCCCAAAAGGCATCTGGGGGATCCCAAAGGATATTTGGGGTGTCTCAGGATGTTCTGGGGGTCCTAATAGGCATTTGGGAGATCCCAAAGGATATTTGGGGTGTCTCAGGATGTTCTGGGGGTCACAAAAGGCATTTTGGGGGTCCCAAAGGGTATTTGGGGGAAGGAGAGGGGTGGTTTGGGGTTCCAGAAAGTGTTTGAGGGGTCCCAAAAAGCATTTGGGGCAATCCTAGAAGGAATTTGAGGGCAAGGCAAGGGTGGTTTGGGGTCCCAAAGGGCACTTAGAGGGGTCCCAGGGGGATTTGAATGGTCCCAAAATGCTTTTGGGGGAGTTCAGGGGTGGTTTGGGGTCCCAGAGGGCATTTGGGGGATCCCAGAGGAGATTTGGGGGAACCTGGAGGGGATTTAAGGGTTCAAGGGGGCAGTTTGGGGGTGGGCTGAGGGTCCTGGGGGACATTTAGGGACAGGACAGGGATAGTTTGGGGTCCAATAAAACATTTCCTGTATCCTGGAGACAATTAAGGGGTTCCAGGAACCACTTTGGGGTGCTTGGGGGTCCCAGGGGGCGTTTGGGGGTGAGCCGGGGGTCCTGGTGGGTGTTTTGGGAACCCCACTGGGCATTTGGGGGGGCCCAAAAGGAATTTTGGGGTGGGTTTGGGGGTGCCAACAGCAACTTGGTGAATTCCATGAGTAGTCTGGGGGTCTCGGGCGGGTCAGGGGGTCCAGGGCAGGGTGGCTGAGGGGGATTTTGGGGGGATTTTGGGGGTCTCACGCACCCGGGCCCATGGGCAGCCCCTCGGCCGCAGCCCCGTGGCGCAGGACGTAGCTCAGGGCCTTCGACAGTCGCACCCCGGGGTCCTGGGGGGCCCCACGAGTGACCCCAAACCCCCCCCGGGCACCGCCCACAGCCCCCCCACCATGGGCGACCCCCCCAATCTTAGACCCTCTCCCCGAATTGAGCTTCAAATG